TGACTGAGATCTTTGAAATCTGGAATATCCATTACATGATATCGCAATGTCTGATACTTAGCATTAGAACATTTTTGTCACCTTTTTTCTCCAAAAACTTCTTAGAAATAATGACTGAGACCTTTGAAGCTCTTTTCTTTTTAATCCCGAGTTTTGCACTACTTTATTTATAATCCCGGGGTTTTTTTAATTTAAAGGAATCTAGTGGTGTTGATATCTGTCTGAGAGAAGGAGTTGGGTATTATTAGGAACGTGTGAAAACGGATCGGATCGGAGAGTAAATATCATATTTTGCGAGGCTAAGATGAAAATAGAAAAAAAAAAACAATCGAGAAAAAGATGAGATTTCTTTGGTATTTTCATCAGACGGTCTCGCATTTGAGATAATTTTGAGAAGGGTCCACTTCAAACCGTTACGATGATGAGTTGCGATTCTTTTACCAATTTGCTGTGGCTCGACAGTTGCCACGAGATCCCATTCTTGTTTTCTATCAGTTCAAAATAACGTAGCAAAAACTAGTCCTGTATCTACTCACACTAGACCATATATATTTTAGCATATTGCTTATTTACATGCATACGCATTTGAGTGCATACCAAAAATCCCTGAAAAAGTTAGTGCAAAGTTTTGCAGGCTTGCGGTTTTCTGAACTTACTAATTCGTGGCAAATTTGTGAAATTTCTGACTAAGTTTTTCACGGATATATAGTATGCATTTTAGCAATCTAGCAATGATAAATCTACTAATTTACTTACGAACAATGCATAATCCTACTGATGTTCTCTGTTGCCAGCCAGGACAACAACGCGGTCCTTGCGCCGCACCACAAACATTAGGCCTGGGAAAAAATATTGCGATAAACTAAATCCCAAAAATAAGCGGCTAAATTAAGAAAAGATTAGTCATTGAAGGTATTCGAATTCAATTGAATTAGCGCGACAGAATAGGATAAAAAGCGATTTTACAAAAGAAAAAAATGCGCATTTACGGCTTAGCGAAAGAAGACTGTGATGGCTTTGTATCGATGCAACACAATATTCCAACATTCTATCAAGTTATAGACGATGCTTGATAAAATGCCTTTGGTAATTGATGATTTTCTGACGCACTGAGAGGACCAGTGCTAAGACAGTCATTAATTGCTTGTCCTGCCGTATTTATCGCTTGTTGAATCAATTAAAAAAAGCAACTGAAAACTTTAAAAAGAATTCATTTTTTGCCATCCAATAAAGTGTCTATTTCATTCCGTAGCAACTAAAATTGGAACTATAGTATAGTGTCGTATTGGTTTGTGTAGTTGCTTACCCTTTAAGTATATTGTACTGTTTCGGCTGCGTGGTACCGCGGGGATTGAACTGAGATAAGGTTTTGGCCAGAAATACGAAGCTTAATACAAGCCTAAACATCATTTCTTGAATCTAAGTTATTGCACGCTTGTCGAAGGACCAAGTAAGATGTAATAAGGTGTCCGAAATGAATTTGTCAAACAGATGTTCACAATTCTATTCTCAACGCTGTTGGTTAGTCTTCAGATGCACGCCTAACGTCTTTGGGAGTGATGGTCTGATTTGTCGAGCTTCTGGCCTTTTGTTTCTTTATAGAACTCAGCGACAAGCCTTCAGCTATGAAAATCTTCAAAGAAAAACTAACACCAAGCAAGTCAAAGATAGAAAACCAAACCAAGTCGCGACCACGACTTCTCTAACTCGTATCAACTTGAATTCTATGAGAAGGAAGCTCAAAGACGAAGATTTGCGTCTGTAAAACCACAAGGCCCTTTTAGATCCCTCCCAGAGACGTTGTCGAAGACTTGGGATGACTCCAAGTCTTGATTGTTGATACTGAGGTATTAGACTCGCATAGTTTCAGTGCTGCGCCGAGTTCAAATGTCATCCAACGATAGACAACAGGGGAAATAGGATACTCCAAAAGAATTATATTTGATAAGCTTATTTGTAAGATATTTGATATGCCCAAAGATTTATGTTATAAAGCCTTTGGAAATGTTATTTCGAGCGCAACAAAGTTAATGTTAAAAGGAAAATATAGTATTTCTTCCCAAACAAATCAATATAGGATTACATACTGACACACGATTGCAGAAATCTGTACATGTACAGGAATCAAAGTGCCTATGAAGTTAGCTGCTCCGAAAGATCTCCTTCGTTCGGATGGCTTACACGTCGGATGTCACACATGCCGGATGTCACGTTATCGACTGCTAAGCGTGACTTGAAGACAACTTATCTGCGCGAACTCTCGGAATGAAGCCCAAGATAAAATACAAGAGAACAGCAGATGACTATCGCAACACAAACAAGGAATACAATTTGTATGTAATACAAGTGCTGCCATTGCTTTTCTAGCGGCCCTGGGTGGTGGGCCTCGGGAAATAATTTTTGCTGCACCCTTTGGCCGAGGTCTGGTTCCCGGGGGCGGGGTACTCCCATATATGAACTATACGGGGATGATCCGCTGAACAGGGTATGGTTTTTCGAGCTTCTTGTCATAAACAGGGTATGCAATTTCACTCAAGGTCAAAATTCTTCCTGAGTTTCTTGTCATATTCAGGATTTCTACTTTCGTATTGACTGAAACTGGTTACCATGGTCGTAAAAAAATGATACGTGAGATTACATGATAATTGAAACAGGAACTCAGTGCAATTAATTATATCTTTTGTCATAAACAGGGTCTACAAATACGATTTTTTTTTTTGGTCATATACAGGGTACCCCTTTCAGAATCCCAGCGGAACACCCCTACCCAAATTCTGGCGGAGTACCCCCCCGGGGTCTGGTCGTTTAATTGGTACGGGATTAATACTGATAAATTAATTATCATAAGTTCTAGATTTCCCAATTCCGTAATGGAGGGGAATATTCCTTATTACATTTCCATCTCTAACTTGAGGGCTGCAGCGAAACTCTCTATGTACAGCAATCCTCACTTCTCTAACCCCTTCGCATGTTACTGTATTCTGGTTCTCTTGTGTGCAGCAGTCTTGGTTGATCAAAAAATATATGTTAATGGTCCGTTAACTTTGAACCTGTGATCCCATAGAATAAGATTTTTTGAATCAGTTTCTTTTAACCCTGACCTTCAATTTCTGTGTTATTTCTCCAGACATAATGGACTACCAATGATCGATTACGGTCAACAAGTGGTCAAAAACCAAAGCCAATTGGAATGCTGAAATTATTGCCGAACGCATGAAGCGGTGAATATTGACTGTGCCATCACTTGGAAGAACCAACTAGAATCGCGAACTTCTTTTTACTTACGTAACTTAAAAGCTTTCGGTCAATCTGAGACAAGAAAGAAATATATTTAAATATGTATCATGATCCCTTGAGAATTCTTTTTGATAGGTCTAGATTGGGAGTTAGAAACTTTTTTTAACGATAAATAACAAAGGACTGTGTCTTAGGAAGGCTTTTCTGTTTCCAAAGCTCATTATCAAATACCTTTACCACGCCTTGTTCTGCCACCTTGGTACTCCATTAATATATACTCGGGCCCTGCTGCCGCTTACCAAACAATTAGCTCAAGCCACACCCATCTACAAAATTCGCATTATACAAAACGTTATGATCTAAAACTTCAAGCCATGAGGCATACTGCCGACCTCATCAGCCGTGTCTTAAAAAAGCAGATCAAACAAATTCTATATACTTGATCTTTTTTTGTGGATAAACATTCCTTCCTTCCAGTCAGTCTACCCCTAGGCAGCTTTCTGACCTGTAGATTTTAGCCCTGTTAGTGACATTCTAATTAGTTCCACCCTCAGTGTGCCAACATTTAGATCAAAGATGTGAGCCAATAGAAGACTTATTCAGTGAATGTTTTCTCGTATAACTGAAGCCAGGAGGTAGATTCTGATATTTGTCATCTAATTTCTTTCACTTCAATAACAAAAGATTTAAAGTACAAATGTTATACGGAATTAATAATGAAAGGAAGCTCGCCGGTGCTCATAGGTGGCGATGTCTAGTGACATTTTCTCAAGTTTGGAAAGAATCATAAGACAAGGACGGATATGAGCTGAGTAATATATATCTTGTTTTTTTTTTGTGGTTTTCTAACAAGATCACACGATCCTTTGACCTGCTCTATTAGCCCATCTAGAATGAACGTGAACAAAACAAATTGAAATTCAAACTTGTTGATTGGAATATTACAGAACTTTGGCTAAGGCAAAGCCAGAAGTTAAGTCGACTATAGCGGGTTCCATTAGCCTGCGTAGCGGCCCAAATGGGGAGGGGAGGGGGAAGGGGTGGGGGGCCTGTGGAGGAGGGGAGGCCGCTACGCAGGCTAATGGAACCCGCTATACTCGAACCACCCCGCATTTTGTTAAGCCAACCATCATTCCTTACCTTGAACTTATCAGATATTGCGATGAGAGAGAAATAATGAACGTTAGCTTGAGCAAAATACAAGACTAAAGCCAGTCGCTTGTGCTAGGGCTCCGGCGTTCCGTTTTCCTGCCTGTTCTCGGTATTAATTTTTGATTTATCTTATTTTTAGCCTTACAACTACGTTAGTTGTACACTGACAAACAAAGGGAAGAAAGACTATATGATTGAAAGGAAATATATATACATATAAAGTTCAGTAATATCTGGATATTTGGTACCATGTGGTAACACTCGCTAACAACGCCACAATAGAGCAGTTTTCGTATGACTGTGAAAAGCTCAGTGCCGTAAGCGTGACGTGCCGTGACCGTGATACTTTCTAGAATTTTAATTGGCTGATTTTTTTTTTTTTTTTTTTTTCACGCGCAAATACGATTGGTCTAAAAGTGCCGCGATCTTGGCGTGACCGTGTCCGCGCCGTGTTTATGCCGTGTTCCGGGTATTTGATTGGACGGAGAGTAAATTCTCGTGCAATGTGATTTGTCTGGCGTATGCCTTGCCGTGTCACGACCGTGTTCTTGCCGTGAACTTTTCACAGTCATACGACAACTGCACTAACTAAGTATAAACGTTTCAGTTTTCTCCAAATTCACCAGAAAGACTCGGCGAAAAAAGATTCAACTTAGCGGTACCTCCAGAAATGTTATCATTTTGTATTCACGGATCCCTGTGCTTTGTCAATAAGGCCTGGAACCCCAGTACTTTTTTGATGGGTTACCTGTGGTTTGGTCTAGTTGACTGCTACAAGGATTTTTGTTGTGTTAAAGTTTATGTGTAAGCTTATTTATTAAGTCTTTTTGTGTTCCTATGATACTAGTATGAAGTCGTGGACCTAACGCAATAGCTCAGAGTGCTGGATATACTGTTTTCGTTGGATTCAAGGTGATTTCAACTTCATATTTGCCTGTCGCGTTGTTCATCAGCACATAGCCAACGTGTTATCATGCCTCTGCAACAAAAAATAATTTGTTTACCGGTTTTTATCGCATGTTTTTAGACAATAAGACTTTCTATTGGACATATGGAAACATATTTTTTGTTTTTGGTACGATTTACTTTAAAGAAAGAAATAATTTTGGTCGACTTTGTGCTCAAGATTGACGTTATTGCATTTGTTTACAAGCTGCTTTGTGTTGTAAGGTCGGAACGATTGCGTCAGACAAAACAAAATTCTTGCTACTGTAATACGGTGGAATTCTACATGGTTTAAAGTCAATATTGCTTAAAGAATCGAAGATAATTTAGATAATGAAGTCTGTATTTGAATACCTGAGCACACGTCGTCAGTCAACGGATGCAAAACTTTCAAGTCAAACTGTCACAGATCTCATAAGTCATAGAGTTCCTCTAACATGGAAGCCTTCAAATGTACCATTGGGAACGATTGATAAAGTCTTTGCTTCAAAATGGCTGGATGATAGACGAGTGATATGTGGTACCAAGTGCAACCAGGTATTAATTAAATAATCAATAGGTTTCATTTATGCTATACAGTACTTACCTGATGCAGCAAATTTGTTATGACTCCAAAAACTCCACAGTTCAAGCATACAGAGATGTTATTGGTACTGTGCAGGACCATTTCTTATTAGCTTAGCAATTAGTTCATATGTTGTAATTGGCTCAAATCTTATTATTGCTGTTGATGGTTTTCACAGCCACCATGTTGAATGAATTGAACAAAAGATCAGTCTCTTTTGTTATATCATCCAACATGGCTGCCGTGTCTTTAGTTATTTCACTCTCTTGGGAATGATTGAAAACCAGCAATTCACCACTGCGAGTATGGCAGTCAGGCGCAGTGTCAGTAACATTGAACTGAAAGCAAATGATTTTGTTAACTTCCATGTCATGTGTTGTGCCATTTGAAAGTCTGTCGTGCAAACAAATTTGGTTTTCAGGGGTAAAGTTCTAAAGCATAGTGGCTGGATGAATTGTCCATGGACAATGAAAAATCATTTCAATGTAATGGCATGTCATAATCTAGCATTTCTTTATACCTGTATATTCCTGTGCCTATACACTAGCTGTATCAGTCTACTTTGCAGCAATCCTTAGTGTTGTTCCAGGGAGGAGCTGGGACCATTACTAATGACAGCTGCGAAGGAGACTAACACTATATCTAAACAATTAGGTTATAATAAGAAAGACTGTGACACTTGAGTGATTTTAATTTTATGCTACAGTATGCCAGTACCAGTAACATTAAAGTGCCTATAACACAAAAAATACCAAAACTGCATGCTCTAAATGGATTCCTCTTAATACTAAATTTTGTAAAAACCCTGAACATGACTCCTGTTCAGGCTGTCATGAATGTCCACCACCTTGAAGACTTTGCAACTTACTCAGACAATCAACAGACTCATTATGATCCTGGGCTCAAACCATTTATTTTAATAAGTTCCATTAGTATAAATATTCAGGTGATTATAGAGAATTTCACGCGCTGATTGGTTGAAAACCTCGCACTATTACATGATAATCACCTCCAGCTATAATCCAAAATGGTGGCCAGCCGCTTTGTTGCTGTTACGAAGAAAAAATGTGTCTTCTATCTTCTCTTTTTTCTTCCTTTTTTTGAAAGAATCACCTGTGTATTTATGCTAAAACAATTATTCTCCTTAGGAATAATAACCTCAAATTCCTTTCAGTTATTATTCCTCGATATTCACTTCGCCTTCAGGGAATAATTGTTAATTATTCTTTGTTTTCTTGCCATATTCTCTAGCTGGTTGTAATAGATGTGGTAACCAAAGAAAGGGTGTTCATCCCTATGCTAGAAGGCAGTCCACATGCAACTCCACAGATGGTATCTGCAGGGGTCCATGATATTGCTCTGAATCAGTCTCAGACAATGTTAGCATCCAATGGAGAAAACCCTAACCACCTTGCTGTGTACAAACTGCCAACATTTGATCCTGTTTGTGTCGGAGAGGTAGGTATTTTTCCTCCTAAGTCTGTACACACCTTGTGGGGTATAGGCCATCAACAACATCTGAACACTACAGAACCCTGTCCTTCACCTTGTCCTCTAGCTGTTTCCAGTTATGCCCCAGCCTATCTAAGTCTTTCTGTAAATGTCTTCTCCAGATGTTTTTTTGCCCTTCCTCTATCTGTACAGTAGGATAGCACTATCCACCTTTCGTTCGTACAACTAGGCCCTGGTCATTAAATTTTGTCATTGTCTTTAACTTTGTTTTCAATCTTGAAGACACTCTCTTCATCAACTTCTCTCCCCATAATGTTTATAGACCCCTTGCAATAAAATGATAGACCCCTTGGAGTAAAATGATAGACCCCTTGGAGTAAAATGATAGACCCCTTGCAGCACGTCAGAATTCAGCTCAGTTTGGAGGCTATAACAATGGGTATCCAATTCTCAGGAGCTTGAAATTCTTTCGTTTTCTCCTCCAAATTGAACTGCTTTGACATCACATGCAAGGGGAACTATTAGTCCACTTTTAAGTTAAAACATGTTGTCATTGTTTTTGTTCAGGGACACAGTGACTGGGTATTTGCCACAGAATGGATTGATGATAGATTATTAGCTACAGGTAAAAACCATTCCATTAAACTAAGTTAGGGCTTATTTCACATGACTGTATTAAAGCCACTTAAGTGAAAACCACAGGGAAGGGGGAACAAGATTAAGGTTACCTCTCATACATGTATCTAACGTCTGTGGTTTGATTCCTGGGTCTTCCTTGCTCCTTGGTTCCAGGGATTTTTCTTGGGTTTTCTGTTTTCCCTCTCTGCAAAACCCAACAAAATTGAGTTACTGTAGATGTAGTTATAATACCCTAACCCTGACTTAGATTAGCCCATAGGTTATTTAAAGGTTGTATCTGTGAGTTAGCCATGCCCTCACTTAGATCAGCCCAGAGATTATTTCAGGGTTCGATCTGTGAGTTAGCTGTGCCCTGACTTATTTCAGACCAGAGGTTGTTTCAGGGTTCGATCTGTGAGTTAGCCGTGCCCTGACTTAGATCAGCCCAGAGGTCGTTTCAGGGTTGATCTGTGAGTTAGCCATGCCCTGACTTAGATCAGCCCAGAGATTGTTTCAGGGTTCGATCTGTGAGTTAGCCGTGCCCTGACTTAGATCAGCCCAGAGGTTGTTTCAGGGTTCAATCTGTGAGTTAGCCATGCGCTGACTTAGATCAGCCCAGAGTTTGTTTCAGGGTTCAATCTGTGAGTTAGCCATGCCCTGACTTAGATCAGTTCAGAGGTTGTTTCAGGGTCCATTACATTTGATGGGACTACTAATTCATATTAATTTTCACCCAGGTTCAAGAGATGGTACCATATCTATTTGGAATACCTATGGAGGTGAACCTGCCTATACAAGCAATAAACTTGTTGGAACTACGAATGGTAAAGAGAAGGCAAAGATTATGCCAGCATATGTGTCACCCAAGACAACACTGACTGGCACAGTAGAGGCTGATAGAATAAGAGACCTGGCTTATAATAGCAATACWGGGGTGAGTGGGACCTGGGGGTGGGTGAAATAGATGGCATGTACTCTTATGGTGCACTGTCTCTCAGTGATGTTAAGTTCATATATAGGTTGGGTTTGTTTGATGTGTTGTTTTCTCTTTGCCACTGTGGTTTTACGAGATCCGGTTATCCGTAGTCCAGTCCAATCCGACTATACACGGTTCTTGATTTTCCAAATTTTAAAAACTCTCAAATTTAGATACATCAATTATATTCTAGAGATTGGGCATGTTTATACAATACATTAAGATTTAGCTGACTCTCTTAAAAGCTGAAAATTCAACAACCAAGAATAGTGAGATCAAAATCCAGTCAACCAATGCCCTACAGTCCCAATACCTATAGTAATAAACAATCATTGCATATGGTAGTGCATTATATCGGAAATTATCAATACCAAGGCCACATGATCTGCCAAAGCTGTAGCACATTTGAAAGATGAGGATCAAAATAACTTTCCTCTCCAACCCATAATAATTTACCACAGTGATCCCAGAATATGAATGAGATAAATATTTTGTTTCAGAATCTTGCTGCCTTATCTCCACATTCACTAGTCCATGTATGGGACATTGCTTCTGGGAAGCAACTCTCTTCATTTCCACTGCCTTTTTACTATGAGAATGTTTGCCTTGCTTTGGAGAAAGACAGGAGCCTCTATGCCATAGGGTCTCAATCACATGTTTCATTGGTAGACCTAAGATCTTATAAGATGGTGAAGAACATTAGAACCTATGACCCAGGAGCAGGTTGGTACACTTCCTCTGCTCTGCTTTACTACACTACACTACACTACACCACACCACACCACACCACACCACACCACACCACACCACACCACACCACACTATACTACACTACACTACAATACACTAAACTACACAACACTACACCACGCCACACTACACTACATCACACCATGCCACGCCATGCCACGCCAGGACACACCACACCATGCCAATTAGTCACACCACACCACACCACACTACACCACACCACATTACACCATACCACACCACGCTACGCTACTACTAAACTTCTATCTAACAGATAGATCTTATCCAGTGGATAAATTCATTGGATAACGGTATCGACCTACCACTGGATAAGTACTTATTTGCCGGATAGCCCTATTCACCCTTCATACATGTACAGCCGGGCCCAGTACTCTACTCTACTATACACTATTGTATTGTGCTATACTCTACACTACTTCTCTCACTCCACTTTTCTCCACACCACATTTCTCCACTCCACTCCTCTCCACATTACTCCACTCCACTCCTTACCACTCTACCAACCTCCACTCCACTCCACTCACCCCACTCCACTCCACTCCACCCCAATTTATTCATTGTCTAATGTTCAGTATTTTTTTCATTGTCAGGTGTGCGCTCAGTTAGTTTTCAAGATGTGCTGCTTACTATTGGTACAGGTCATGGTTCTGTCGTATTTTATGATTTAGTTGCTAATGGCTTTCTAGTAACTGACACCAAGGATGATCTCACCTTAAAGTCTGGAAAGGGTTGGTTGGTAAGTTACTCAGAAAAGATTTTATTGAAATATTTTTCCAATGGAAATCCAAGATCAGTGCTTGTGTAATGTTTTATCTAGATCTTCAGTGTTAGTTCTTCCTAAAACCATAACCAAAACTATAATAAAAAAAAGCATATTGAATGATAGATAGACTTGCTCCAAGTTTACCTCTCGGTGGACTTTGCGGAAGTCTAAATTATAGAAAATCTTCTAGCAAACTTGTTTTGCCTTTCTGTCGGCATTTCTTTTATTTTATTATTGACCATATCAAAAACACTTTTTCTAAGCTCTTTTTCTTTTTGACCTAAAGCGTTTAGATAACACTCTTTATGAGTACTTCACAGAAACAGAGGTGGACTGTTTTAGTAATGCTATCTATACCCACTGTTACGACCCCACGGGTACCAAACTATTTACAGCTGGCGGACCACTTGCTTTGGTATTATATGGGAATTATGCTGCTGTATGGGAATGATGGCTGGCCACGTGAGAAATGAAATGTGACCAAGTGACTAAATGTATCTACGTGATTGAGATGATCATGTGACTAATTATGACCACGTGACTAATTATGGCTACGTGGCTAATTATGACCACGTGACTAATTATGACCACGTGATGACTAATTATGATCACATGACTCATGTAACAATGTGGCCATCTTTTGGAAGTCGACTGAAACTAATTCGTAAAGTCGTGAAGAGTCGTCTTCAAAACAAGGCAAACTCATGAGGAGCCGCTTTGAGGAAATACGTACCAGTTTGCGGAGACAAACAGAGAAGTTTGAGCAATGAAGATAATTATATCAAGACAGAGAAAATAAGAGTGATGCTGATACATTATCACGTGTCAAGAACATGTCATACTCATCCTTCGTTTCTATGGAAGCAGAGGGGTTATAGATTGGATTATACAACACCAACCAACAACCTGTTAGAAAAAGCAACTGTTATCTAGAAATGAAAGCAGAGATAGATGATTTTAAAATTGAAACTGCTCTTTTAAAAAGGACAATGATTTGAATTTCAAAGAAAATCTTTCCAAAACTGAACTTTAGATAAATTGTATATAGAATTTTATTTTGTTCAAATTTTTCTAATTTTTATGCAGTTTTTGAGTAACATTTCACTCCAGCTATGTGGTTCAATATTTTAATATTTTATATTTATTATATTTCTTTGCCATAGGTTTTATACTGTTATTTACTTAAGATGGTACCTGTGTTTTTAAAAGGCTGTTGTTCCATTTCGTTTGTGTAACAGCTTTATTAATACATCTTGCAAATTTCTATATTTTTAGTTAATGATTTTGAAGTTGTAAGATAAAGATATGTTTGTCGCCAGGTTTTGACCACTTTATAGATAAGGAATCAGCACTATCTACACCTTGAAGGCAAAAAGGTAAAATATATCAACCTGTGAAAACGTTTAACTGTGTGAAAATTCAAGAGGCTTTTACTTCAAAGTAATCAAAAAACTCCAGACGGCATACCAAACATTTTTGTAAAGTGTCTGAATATAAAATGTACATGTTTCCCCAGTCGTACGAAATAGTTGAGAGTTTAATTAAAGTTGCGGACACACGGTGCAACATTGCACGCAACAAATTTGAATCGGGGTGGCACACGTTGCAACAAAATCACGCAGCATCGCTTGTCAGTCTGCTATGCTAAAATTGCTGCCATGCTGAAAGAAATTTGGTCAGCGGTTATAAATTTGTTGCAAGCTGATTGGCTGGAATTTTCAAAATGCTGCACGCAATGTTGCAGCCATGTTCACACGAAATTTGTTGCGCGCAATGTTGCAACTTCAGATTTGTTGCATGCAATGTTGCGTGCAACAAGTTTCAGGGGTAGACACACTGCAACAGTCCTGTTGCGTGCAATATTGCATGCAATGCTGCACCGTGTGTCCGTACCGTTAGAGTTTGTAAAGGTGCGACACACGTTGCAACAAAATCACGCAACATCGCTTGTCAGTCTGCTATGCTAAAATTGCTGCCATGCTGAAAGAAATTTGGTCAGCGGTTATAAATTTGGTGCACGCTTATTGGCTGGAAATTTCCAAATGTTGCACGTAACGTTTCCCCATGTGTCTTATGAGCGTATGTCTGTAAGCGTCGAGAATCTTAAATCAGTTTCAAAAAATCGAATTTCTTTTTATTGTACCAAAACAACCCTTTGGGTAAGTTGTTTTAGGAAATAATATCAAAATGTCCCAGCGCGCTTTTATTTTTGAGAAAATTGCAAAAGTTTGAAAAATCGATTAAAATGGGTAATTTTCCTAATTAATATGCAAAAATCGATGGCCATCTTTAAGGAGCTCTCAATAGATCAAAAAGAATCCAAATGAATTCATATTTCCCAGGTAGTCAAATCAACTCTATATCTTTAAGAATGGTTCAAGAATTTGTAATAAATTGCTTTTTAAATACGAGAAATCGGCCTTCTAAAACATGTTGTGTTTTTATGATCGAGCGGCAGTCAAATTATAGGTGAAATTCAGCCTCCAATATCGCTGCTGGTACCTAATAAATCGAAAGAACACTTGCACAGCACGAAAGTACACATATTCTAGTTTATTTGTGCCAAGTTTTAGCTCCGACTATTAAAATGCCACCGCGTGAAGGAATTTCAACTTGTAGCGTTCAAACACGCTRTACGGCTAATCAATTACACGGGTTGTTTATCTCTATAACACTAAATTGACTCAATATTTCTTTTTTTTGAATTTTTTTATTAAGATGGTTTGCCAAAAGTATAAACAGCATAACTAGAGAGTAAATACTCTTCAATCAAGTGGTTCTCTGTGTTAATCCACGATAACTGAGCGCAGCTTGAGCTTAAAACCATGTCACACAATCTAGGGTCAGGACAAGAGCACCCCGTCGTCGGTGGCTTTAGCTAGATTTCTTCCCCAATGCAAAAGATTTATCTCCTACTCTGAGATCCCAAATGCTCTATGAATTTAGCCGGTTTTTAAACTATTGAACCGGTTTTTGATGAATTATTACCATGAATGTCTTGAGAATAGCATGTAAACATTTAACGTCCTAGCGAGCTGTCAACGGCATTCTAAATAAACACATGAATTCTACCAAATCATTATCGTAACTTACCAGTTACCAAACCACCAAACTTTGATTACTTGGTCTGAACAGATATTGCAAGTTTCTTTAACTCCAAATATCATTAGGCGTTTTCCCTGTTTTAACGGATGGCAAGACTGTGGAGTGACAGTCGGAGCATGCTTTGTCACTACAAGTTGAATTAATTTTCCCAAAAAGTTAATCATTATCTATTATCGCTTAACACAACGCGCTAATATTAGCTTGGTCAGCCCGCTTTTGAGTTGTTTGGGTACGATGGCGCTCTGTGGATTTTCGGCTCTTATTGGATATAGTCCTTGCGGGACCAGTACAGACTATCCAGATCAAGTGCACTCTGTTGCTATATCTGACTGTCAAAAAGATATTTYCAGGCATCTGGAAATATTTGGCATTAGTGAAGATTCGTCCCTGGATAATGAAATGATGTTATTGTTGGCTCGTGCAGGTAATATAGTCTGCGTTTTATCAATTTTTCATCGTTGCCTGCCTTTTAATATGAATATCAGTTGATAAAAAATTGTCTTTAGGTATATTCTCACCCGATGATTCTCACAAAGCAATAACGATATGCCCAAAGCATCGAGCTGAATACGGAATTCGGTGGCGATGTCGCAAAGTTAGATGTTCCGTACCACACCCCCTGGCTGCTCACAAAACTTCTACGGTAAAAGCCACGAGGCGAATTAACACGAGACAATCCTCATTTATTCTGGGTAAAACAGGAGAACTTATTGCTGTTGGATCACGTAAGTTAAAAATCGATTTATTTTATCAGGCTAGAAGTACAAATGCTTCCATGCCGGGCATTGTGGTAAACGATTGTACTATTCTACTAGCAACGTCATAAATTATGAAATACATTGCTCGCATTGGGTGTTGATTCGCGTACTAAACGACCTATAAGCTAAGGCCAGTCAAATATGCAGCGGACCAATCGTAATATTTGAAATGAAAATTGCAGCAAATTCACAAGCGGAATTTGAGAMATTTAACTCGAAGTTAAATCGATATTCTTCTTCTTGGATTTAGCAATATGTAAGACGTGCAGCGCATATATAAAAAGCATTGCAGAAGAACCAGAAGAACAAGATGCATCCGTTATTGAATCTGAACAAGACACTGTGGAAGTGAGTATGATCTATTATGTGATCATCATCGGGGGAGGGGGGTCAGCCAAGGAGGTTAGCATTTTGAGTCGTATTAATATTTTTTCATGTGGTCACCAAAAATTAGAGTCAAAAGCATACGGCCGATTGGTTAAAACATCATTCGAATTCCTAATATTTTTAATTAGATCACTCAGAAGAGGGAAAAAGAAACAGCTGATGAGACTGGACTTATAGAGTCCCTCAATAAACTGCAGATTGAAGAAGTTACTATTTTCAGTACGGATACTGCGAGTACTGCGTCCACGCGAAGTGACGAAGCTACCTCTGCCATCAAAGCTTCAGACGAGACCTTTCTGAGCCCGGATACTGCGAGTACTAGTGCTTCCTCGTATAGTGATGAAGTGCGAAGCCAACCACTTCAACAACTGAACAAGTTTTTAGTAGCTTCAAAGATTCCACCCCTTCAAAGACGATGGTTAGACTGGAATGAGATCAGTGAAGTGACCAAACAACGCWATACAAAGAGGAGCGCTGAGATTGTAGCTGCTGTGCTCCAAACTGTTTCTCCTGACAACGCTGGACACCTCTGGCAAGCTCTGATATCATCCAGCACGACTAGTAAGCTCCTTGGTACTGATGAGCTAACAAAGGTAGACCACCGCTACCTAGAGGCCCTTGCAGAAACCTACAATAATGCGTCTAGCTGGGATACCCGCCGACAAATCCTCTCAATAATGGCTGGTTTAGCGAGCTCCAGTGTAACAAATTCATATATTCCTGGTCTTACCAAGTACCGTCCGTTACACTTCAGCAAACTTACATCGTCTTCAGCTTGGTAGAGGTGTACCAGTTCCTGTTCAAAAAGCATCACGTATCAAAGTAGATCCAAAGCAGCTCAGTCATTTCTTATCCTTTATTACTAGTCCGCATTTGGTCCAAGACCTCCCTTATGGCCAAAAACATCTTACTCTTTCCTCTGGTCAAGTCCTAGAAGTGCCTAATGTGATACGCACTATGATACCTCGTCGAATTGTGCTACAGTATGTTCGATTCTGCCAAGAGACAAATTTTCGTCCATTTAGCGAAAGTACAATGCATCGCATACTTTCTGAATGCAGTGCCTCAGTGAGAAAGTCTCTTCAAGGTCTTGATTACTTTTCTGCGGATGGTACAAGAGCGTTTGATGAACTGTTGGCATTAGTTCCCAAACTGATTGAATATGGTGCTGAGCGGGACTGGGGAATGAGAATGACAGATGCTCTGAAGGCAACTAAACTCTATTTAAAGGGAGATTATAAGGTAAACCCTTTGATTACAATTTAAAGTTAGAAAGAACAGCAATATTCGTAAACACAGTACATGCTAACTGAATGCTTGCGCCGAATTTTTTTTCTTATCGTAATTTTTATTTTCTCGTGCAGACAGTATAGTAAGACAAAACAGCTAAGCAGTAAATTTCATCAAAACACGTTTAGCTCTGTTTTGCCTTCGGCCCTCACTCCCAGTCTTCATAGCCCTTTTATTCATATTTATTTTATATTTTCAATGTGCGATTGGACTACTTAGTTGCCATTTGCACATCTCGAAAACATTTACTAACAGCTAATTAACTCAACTAACACAAGCGTGCTATCATTTTTGATAGTGGCAGTAAGTAAAGCTATAATGTCAATGATGGCCTGACAATTTCTATTATATATTCAATATTCTTTTTATAAAATTTTTGGCATTGACTACGTTTTTGAATGGAAATTGGTGTCCTTTTACATGTGTTGAAGTTTGACTGTTTTCTGACAGGTGCATCTGGCGAAAGCTGCGGAGGTAGCGGACCACTGTGTTGTATTCTCCCTCAGTGATGGTTGTGAGTCAGATTTTAGGAAGGCCTGTAGTCACAAACATGAGGATACATGTGGTCAATGTTTAGTGCTGGGGGAAACTTTGAAGGAAATTGAAAAATGCGCCAAAGCTTGCCAATATCCTTCCGATGATGAACGAGATGAAGCTCTCTATATCATACAGTCGGCAACGCTTGCCATCAAGTCATGGAAGTGTCACACACTCCGATCTTGGAATCAAGACCAAGCGCGTTTTGACACCCTGGAACTGATTGATCATCGAACGGTATTGATTGTCAATGACTGGGCGATGAAGTTCCTGCCACAGAGGTACAGGGAGTCGCAGTCTGACTGGTTTGGTAAGCGTGGTATCTCTTGGCACATATCTGTTGTGTACCGGCGACTTGATGACAAGCTACAGTGGCAGGGATTCGTTCATGTGATTCAATCGTGCAGCCAAGATAGCCCAGCTGTTGTTTCTATAATGCAGGATGTGCTTCGAACCTTGAAGCAAGAACACCCTGAAATCAGTAAGGCATACCTCCGTCAAGACAACGCTGGGTGTTATCATTCGGCCACAACGATCCTTTCATGTCCAGAAATATCACGATCTACTGGAGTAAAAATAGCCCGTCTTGATTTCAGTGATCCTCAGGGAGGTAAAGAAGCGGCAGATAGGTTGGCAGCAACATGCAAATCACACATTCGCGTGTATATTAATGAAGGAAATGATGTTGTTACCGCCAAACAACTAGAGAGTGCCCTCCTTTCCAATGGGGGAGTAAAGGGTGTTCGAGTCGTTTCACTGCAATCCATTGCTAACTCTCAAGAGACCACACAAAAGATCCCAAGCATAAGTAAGCTTAACAATTTTGAGTTTGTGTCTGGAGAGAAAATTAAAGTCTGGCGTGCTTATGGCATAGGCACTGGGAAAGTCCTCAGAATTGAAAAGTCCTCGACTACAGGTAAATGGATTACTGAGTTAGATTTCTTGCCATTTTCTGCCACTTAATTTTTTACCCTTTTCTTTCTGAGGCCAATCATAAATGGCTTAGCTCGTCTTTCTCACCAGGAGAATTCAAATATTTTATTCCCCAAGCCACTCGCAAGACCCAACCGGAGACGCTAACCGAACCCGGCGCTGAGCAGAATGTTGAGCCGGAAGATATGAGTACAGACCATACCTCCCAAGCACTCTTCTCTTGCCCACATGATGGTTGCATTCGTGTTTTTCAGAAGGTCGGGAATTTAGAAAGGCACTTGACTTCCGAAAAATGTACTAGGGCCCTCGAGAAGCATTCCCTTATGGATCTCGCAAAGATGGGATACAAGTGCGAGCTAGATGAGGGTGTTGGAGTAATACCAACTCTCCAAAGCAGCTCCAGTTCAAGGGGGGAAAACAAGCGTCACCCCTGTTAGTCAAGCTGAGCTCTCAGAGCAACGAAAAAGCCGTACCGCTTTAACAAAAACCAAAAATCGTATCTTTCCGCAAAATTCCAAATTGGTCTGTCGACTGGGAGGAAAGCTAATGCTGAAGCTGTTGCTGTGGAGATGAGGCGTGCGCGTGGTCAAGATGGAGAGAGGCTCTTCAAAGTTCCAGAGTTTTTGAGTACTCAGCAAATCGCCTCCTATTTTTCACGCCTTGCGGCCAAGATCCGAAAGCAAACACCATCAGAGCTTGACCTTCACGCTGTCGAGGAAGAAGAGCATTTTGCAGCTGCCACAGATAAAGCAATAGAATCCATCCATCTGCAGCATCCTATTGTCTTCGATCATTACAACGTTTGTGCCATGACTGAAGATAATACCTTAAAAAATCTAAAAGTTGGAATGTTGCAGCTCATATGTGAAAATCTTGGCCTTCAAGTCCCTAAACCTCCGATTCGTCGCAAAGCCCCTTATTTGGAACTACTCAAAGACGTGTTCAATAATTGTACCTGTCAACAATGAGTTTCATCGATAGCTTTTACAGTCAAACACATCCATGTATTCTTGTAAGGGTTAGTTTATCTGTGTTGAGCCGCTTGGAGCCAAGTTTATGGATATTCCAGATCCAGCACTTTAATTTTCGTTGTTCAATATAAAAAGAAGCGAAGAGTGGAGAGGAAAGGAGAGGAGAGGAGAGGAGAGGAGAGAAGAGAAGAGAAGAGGAATAGAAAAAGAAAGAGAGAAAGAAAGAATAAAAACAACCGGAAAGACTGGAAAGAAAGAATTAAGAAAAAAGAATGAACGAATGAATAAATGACGTCAATTTTCACTTTTCTACAAAATAATTAAAAAATATTATACTTCGTTGCTGAGCGCGTGCTGCTTTTCAGCTAAATCATCTACGAAAATATGTTTTCTCAGGCGGTTTTTTACACTGTGCTCGTCAAAATTTATTATCTAAAGCAAATAGATCAGGCTTAGATTTCTTCCGTTATCATATAAAACACTCCTAAAGCTAAAGAATACGAAAAAAGCTATATTCATCATGTAGTGTCCTCCAGCTCTCGTGTAGTATTTCAAGTTATCCTATAAAAGAGAGTTATGTTTTAAATAAAAAGAGTCCTTGAATAATTGCTCAATCACAAAAAGGCTAGTATTGCAATTCTAATTGGAATAGTAAAAAATCATTAACGAAGTCTCAACATTTTAAGGAAAATAATGGTTGGGCTTGACTAAAGTTTTCAAATAGATATTAATTAACTTTTTTGGGAAAATTAATTCAACTTGTAGTGACAAAGCATGCTCCGACTGTCACTCCACAGTCTTGCCATCCGTTAAAACAGGGAAAACGCCTAATGATATTTGGAGTTAAAGAAACTTGCAATATCTGTTCAGACCAAGTAATCAAAGTTTGGTGGTTTGGTAACTGGTAAGTTACGATAATGATTTGGTAGAATTCATGTGTTTATTTAGAATGCCGTTGACAGCTCGCTAGGACGTTAAATGTTTACATGCTATTCTCAAGACATTCATGGTAATAATTCATCAAAAACCGGTTCAATAGTTTAAAAACCGGCTAAATTCATAGAGCATT